CTATCTATCTATCTATCTATCTATCTATCTATCTATCTATCTATCTATCTATCTATCTATCTATCATCAGTCCATGTGTTTCTCTGTCATCTATCCAGCTACCTCTACCATCTATTTTTCTGTCTGTCTGTCTGTCTATCATCTATCTATCTATCTATGATTAAAAAAAATAAGATGCAAAGAGAAAGAAGATATCTTACTGCATGTCCCAGCAGAGCCAGACGGTTGAGAAGTGACCCCATCCTAATTTTCTGATAACGTGATATCGACCATTGAAAAGATCTCCAATTTTCACTGGATGGTAGCCACCTTTCCAAAGACAAAAGGATATAATTAAGCATGCAATTTCATTTGTAGTGTGTGTTTTACTCGTGTACGCAGGAAAGGATCTTAATATCGCCAGCTACCTGCAGAATTGCAACGGTAAACCATCGCTGACTGTAATGGAACAATTCTGAGAAAACGTTCCGCAAAATTGCTTTGCTAGATTTAATTCGTTGTTCCAAAAATATCCTGGGAGAAACGTTAAAGATTTAATTTTATTCTGAAGCTCCATTGTATCATAACTGCAAGGAAGAAAGTAGCTTAGTGTACGAAAATATTTCATCCCTGAATCCCTCCCTCCCTTCATTCACCCACTCACCCATCTCTCAATCCTCCATCCCTCCATCTTCTCAATCCCTCCTTCTCTCCATTCATTCTTCTCTCCATCCTCTCAATCTCTCCTTCTCTCAATCCCTCCTTCTCTCTATCCATCCATTCATCTCTCAATCTCTCCCTCCCTCAATCCCTCCTCCTCTCCATCCGTCCACCCACCCACCCACCCACTTCTCAATCTCTCAATCACTCCTTCCCTCTCTCTCTCCATTCATCCATCCCTCAATCCATCCATCCATCCAATATATAAAGCTACCCATTTATCCAAGAAAATTTGGGTGGTGAACCCAATAAAAATAAGATATTTCACTGACTAACAAAAAAAAAAAAGATAAAACCACACTGAAGTTCAGTAAAACACAAACCCACTAATTGCATGCACAAAGATACACAGCTCTCAAAAATCACACATTTCCAATTGGTCTGTATTCATTTCAATGGAAAGTTCCCCGCTTCCCTTCCTTCTACCAAGACTTTATCAATACAAACACTTTTAATACCAGTATTAAATTCTTGATTTAATAGACCTTACTTTAGTGAGCTGGATGAAATGGGGGGGGGGGGGAACTTTGGATACCAAATCCCCTTTTGGTATATTATGGACCCACAAAATACAAAAAACACTCTTATCTTATACATTATGTTCCCATTTTATACAGGTGCAAAATCTGATTTATCATTTCACATATATATAGGTAAATAAGATTTGCTAACTCTCATTCAAATTTAATTGACATTCAGTATTAAGAGAATCCCCGCCACCATATTTATTGGTTCAAAGAGAACTTATTTTATTCGATATCAAATCAGGATTTCTCCATCAAAGGCTGTTATATCATATTAGGTCAAAATGCATTTTTTCCCCCTTTACGGCTTACCGTATTCTATACCAGTGATGGCTAACCTTTTTGTCATTGTATGCTAAAAGTGCGTGCATGCACGCGAAACAGCGCAACTGCACCCATAATGCAATGCACGTGTTACATCACCCCCGTGCGCCCCGCCTTCCGTGCTCCCTCAGACATGCCCCGCACCCTCTTTTGGGCCTAGTAGACATCCCTGCAGCCTTCTGGGAGGGGGGCACCACACACCCCATACTCCCCCCGCCCCCTGCATGCGCACATGACCCCCCACGCATGCATCTCCTGCATGCACTCCACTCCCCACGCATGCGCGGCAGAGACCTGAAAATCGGCTGGCCTGCGGGAGCTGCACGGGCATGCTCAGAGGAGGTGAGCTGGAGCAACTGCTTGTGCGCCCGCTTTGCGTGCCAAATTTCTCCTTAATTCCAGGTTGCTTCTCTCCTTGATTAGTTTCCACCCATTGCTTCTTGTCCTGCCCTCAGGTGCCTTGGAGAATAGCTTGACTCCCTCTTCTTTGGGGCAGCCCCTGAGATATTGGAAGGAAGGAAGGTGGGAGGGAAGGAAGGAAGGAGAGAAGGAAGGAGAGAAGGAAGGAGAGAAG